TTATGTATTAGCTTCAAACCTATGTGTGAATTATTATATAACAATGAAAATATCTGAAATGATAAGGTGCAATAAGCTTTTTTTGACCACAGAAACAAATGAAAACAATCTAAATATACAATTTTAGTAAGTTTTAGAATCAATAATGGATAGATCCAATATTGTTTAATTTCAACTAGATATTCTCCGGCATATTGCAGAACTCAAACGTGTCTTCTAAACTAATTTAAAAAAATGATAGACTAGTTTTTGTAATGACTGAATTGTACATCATATTAGGACTTAGTTTTGTATATATGCATGCATTGGTTCAATAACTTCGATAACTTTAAAACTACAAGAAAATCGTTTCATATGACTTTAATATATCAACAAACTAGACATAATGATGCTGCTTTTCTTTGTCAGAACAATTAATGATTTTTTAATTTACAAATTTTGTTTGATACAGTGCGCAGTGGCGGATTAAGAGAGTCCCAAATGAGTCCTTTAATCTCTTCCAATATAATGAAGCAAAAATGGCTAATGCAATTTGAAAACTAAAAATCACGAATGTATCTTATCCTTTCTTATTTCATGGTTGGCCTTAAATTGGTCAAAATCCTAGATTCACAATAGATCAAGATTTAATTGTAAGGAAATGGACTTCAGTCATCTTTCGATGCAAGGGGGTGGATATACCTTTGCCACGCTTGCTTGCAACACCTTTAGTGTAACTTAAAGATAGTTATTCGAAGAAAAATTAAATCATACAAAAAATATAAGTTCATGTTAAAAAAGTGAAGAACACCCGTTAAAGTTACATAGAAATCGTTTGAAAAAAGTAACACTAGTCATGAAATTTATCAATAACTTTAAAGATAACTTTATTTTTTAACCTATTTTGAATGCACAAAAGATGTGTCTTCTTGTGTTTATATTTATTAAATACTCAATATCTTTGATTATTTCGTTTTAATTTTGACCTCAGAGGCGAATAATCAATTATTAGTGTTGCTCACCCGCTGACGGATGATTTTTGTTCCGTATCAAAACCAATACGTCATATAAACTTATTGCAGTATCAATCTAACGTAAAAACAAACCATTGATTGCATTTATTAATGTAATACATAACTAAATAAAGGATCACAGCTGTGTGATTAGTTTATGCGGGAAAAGAACATGCTGCATGCATACTAGAAATGTTACCGCAATTTAAAAGCGAGTCATATTCATATGATAGCGGCATTTCCGCAATTAGATAAAAACATCCCAATAATGATTGTGCGGTATGGGAAGTCAATAAAACCATGCTTTTGTGCTGTTACACCACTGTTCCAGGTTTAGGGGGCGGTGGCGCGCCAGCAAACATGTCTAACCCAGCCACATTATGTATGTACCTGTTCCAAGTCAGGAGGAGCCTGTAATACAGGGGTTGTCTTTGTTGCTGTTTATCATATTTGTTTTTCGGTTATTGTTTTGATCATAAACCAGAATGTTAGTTTTCTCCTCTGAATTGTTTTATATATATATATATATATATACTTTATTCTGATAAACCGTTATAAACAAAGGTACACAGAACAACATAGAAATTATACAATATACAATAATACAAAGGTACATATGTTGAGGAAATAAACAATCAATACAATACAGGTACATATATATGTTTACATGTTAAAATTGTGCAGTGCATATTAATTGGAAGACCTTAAGATATGATGGAGAAAGGCGAAGGTTAATTGAGAGAATCCACTTTATCGTTTATAACTCTAATAAACTTACACAAATTTCTAAGCTTAGATTGTTTAGATGTATTCATAAGTTCCCTGAACTTAAGAATGTTACAATTTTTTGTGAATTTTTTATCTAAGTATTCTTTTCTTTCTGTTGTATAAAAAATTGCATTTGAGGAGATAATGGTATTCATCAGAAATATCGCCATCTTCACACCAGGGGCAGGTCCGATTTTCTCTTCGGATATTAGACCACCTCCCACATTCTATTGGCAGTTTATGATGAACCATTCTAGTAATTATTTTCATTTACCTGTGTATAATATGACATAGATTTCTTTAAAAGTGATGATTTTCTAATAATTGTTTTACATTTCACAGTGATATCATACTTTAACTTTGTTTAAACCTGTTTATTTACTTTTGACTTTAATTATTTATCCCTTGCAATTTTTTATTAACTGTGTATTTGCATTCAGGTGTCACAGGTCAAATTATTCGTTCATTGTGTGTTAATTTACGTTTTTTGATTGAGTTAAGCCTTCCAATTGATATTTTATAGTGTGTTTTTCTATGTTGTGATGTTATACTATTGTTTCAGAAAAGGGAGAAGGTTTGGTACCATTAAAACATTTCATCCCGCTGCAAATGTTTGCACCTGTCCTAAGTCAGGAATCTGATTACAGTAGTTGTCGTCTGTTTATGTAGTTCATACGTGTTTCTCGTTTCTCGTTTTTATATAGATTAGACCGTTGGTTTTTCCTTTTGAATGGTTTTACACTAGTAATTTTTTGGGCCCTTTATAGCTTGCTGTTCGGTGTGAGCCAAATGCTCCGTGTTGAAGGCCGTACCTTGACTTATAATGGTTTACTTTTATAAATTGTAACTTGGATGGAGAGTTGTCTCATTGGCACTCATACCACATCTTCCTATATCTATAAATTTACAGAATGTAAACATATCATTGTCGCTTAATACATCGAAATACTTTTCGGTTGTAAACAATTCTTTAAACAGTCGGTAATTCAGAGTTTTTGCAGAGGTTTCCACGCTTGACACCCAAGTTTGGATAAATTGATCTTCTAAAGTAGTTTTAACAACTAGCTTAAGCAAACTTACATCATAAAACGTTTGATATGTCCATATAAAGGAAAGTCCATATTCGTTTAGGGTGTTTTCTATGTTTTGTAGCCAAATTGATTGGGAATTTGTTTCAAGTGCCATTTGAGTAATTAATTTATAAACAATTGAGCACAATTTTTATAGTTGTCAAATCGGGCCTTTTATAGCTTCCTATGCGGTACTTGTTTTTCTCACTGTTGAAGGCCATATGGTGACCTATAGTTGCTAACCTTATACGTCATTTGGTCTATGATGGAGAGTTGTCTCATTGGCAATCATACCACATCTTATATTTTTTATATATACCAGAATCTACAGGCTTTGAATCTATAATAGTTATGATTTTTATCCTTTACGGAATTTGGTGTTGATTGCAGATCTTTTATACATGTAGTTCTTGATGAATAAATGCAAAACTGTTCTAGATCCGAAGCGATATACATTTACATGATATAAAACGATACAATATATGAGCTGCGTCGGATAAAAATCGACCTTATGCAAATGAATATCAATACATCTGTTAAGTTATTTCGGGTTGAACAAATCTCTGTGCAAAGTCTGTAATTGTTTGAACCCTACAGAGCAGACCAAAATTCATCTTTTATTTCGTATTTGAACTTTCTAAAATCAATCATAGTCTTGAACATGTACATGTATACGGGCACTTTCATAAGGTTGATTTCTATCCGACGCAGCTCATATCTTATTTTCAAATTGTGTTATATAGCTTCAACAGGCACCAAATACGGGGACGATGCTCTAGGGTTCTGGATTTAAAAGCTTCGACAAACCTCCTCGTTTTTGATGTAGAGAAACAGACATAAAGTTAACAAAAGTTAGATGACATTCACAGCAATTAACATATAATCCTGTAACATATATTGAGACTAGTGTAGTTTTCTCTACTAAAACAGGCACCAAGGAACAGGGTGTTAAAGGAACTGTGTAATTAAAAATATTCATAGTATTTTACATTTTATTCATCATGTCCGAAGGAGACCGGAACACCACTCTTTCGACTATTTTTAGCAATAAATCTACCATAAAACAACAGTGAGGTCTTATTTACATTATGTGTTCATAGGCCATATCAGTTAATCTCTGCAGTCTGAAATTATTGTGTTATATAGTAATCTCAGCTTGGGTTATAGCTCAGTGACGCTTTGAACTCGGATGATCAATAATATTCATCATTCTTTGTCAGAACTAACACATTGTCTATACTTCTTAGTTTAACCAATTGTTAGTAAAATGAAAATAAAGAAGTGTCTTTAATACCTTTTGTTAGTTTAAGTCTTAGATTATAATTATGGTGTTATGGTTATCTCAGTTTAAATATTGAACATATCACGGAGATAAATTAGTCCTGGTTTAAATGTCACAGTCCGGGCGGACACATATGACTAGTATAGAAAGTCCATGGTTACAGAATTTACTAGTATTTTTAGTCTGATGTCAGTAATTTATGTCCCCAGACTAATTTTCATAAGAATTCAATGTCCATGTCATTAATATTCTTAGGTAAAAACGTCAATGTCCTTTATTTTACTAGGAAAATTTGTAATGAAAGAAATCATTTGCATGTAAACAATGGAATTTTTAATTGTTATGTTTTAATATTGTTTAACAGCTGTGCATTAATCTTTTGATAAAATTTATGGCCCCAGACTAATTTTCTTATAGAATTCACATCCATGTCATTAATTTTCCTAGGTAAAAACTTGTTCATAGTTTTATTATAGAAAAGAAAGTCCTAGGAAAATACGTGTCAGATATACTTTACTGTAACTATGGACTTATTTTCATAGGAAAATTTATCCTGGAACCTACATTCCTAGTAAAATTATGGTAATGGACTTGATTACCTGTGAAAAAAGTCCAGGGGACAAGTTTTACTACGGTCCGAATTTACTGTTATTATGAACAATTTGTAAGTTTCATTTTTTTTCATTTGTATGTACTTACAGTATGCACATTTTAAAAACTTCATTTTCTTATATTTAAGTTCCTTCTACGATATGTCATACTTTATATTTTTACCTTTCTAATTTTTGGGAGCTTTAACTAGGAGATAAAGCTTGTCATTGTTTGTTGATTTATATTTCGGTTTTCAGACATAGTAGGGGATTTCCGTATTCTATTTATAGTCTGTTACAACGCCATCAAACTGCAAAGATGAACTGGTTTGGAATAACGTCGATCTTCGAATTATGCACGGTTTGACCCTTAATGTGTTTTATAGAACGCAATAAATATCCCCTGTAAATATGACAGAGGGGTCAAAATCAGTAGAACAATGGCTTGAAGGTTTATCTGGTGTGCATGAGGGGCATACAAAACAAAATTTTAAGAATTGTTCAACAAATAGTGAAACTACATCTTATCTTGGCGATTCATATTATCCATTTCCGTCAAGAACCTCTAAATGGAACATATCTTGTTTGGAATCACTAGGAATTTTCTACAACAAAAAATACCATGATTCACCCCAAGACCTCCTGAACATGATTTTCGAAGAAACGGGTGCCTTTCGGCCAGTTTCAGAGGAGCAAAAGTGCAATGCCACAGATATAAAGAAACGTATGACTTTCAATTTTCCTATAAGTGATATCGTTGATATGTTAACAGACAAAGAAAAGGTTACATTGAACAACGGAGAATCATTCTTTCCAGAGATAGAACATGATATTGATAAATGGTAAATGACGAGTATTCTCCTTTGCTATCTATAATTAATGTAACCAAAGACATACATTTGTACATGTTTAATTAAGTCTCCCAAACAAAGTTTGAAGACTTATTGGTTTTGCTCATGGGGTCTTCATTAATGACCATGGGAACATACTGAAAGGTCAATGGTAAATTATAACTTTGACCTTGAACTTTTTTTCAATTTATTCAATAGGGAGAGTCCTTAGGGGTTTAAACTTATGTGGATTTGTTTAAGAGACTTCATAACAGCATGCTGTTAAATCATTTCTTGTTGTACACATGTACATGTATATGCTATACATGTCTCTGCTAAAACAGGTTGTGGACAATCTGCAAATATGGAACAGTTTCCTAAATGAGTTACCAGCTGGTACCTATTTCCCTTCAATGAGAGATAGTTTTTCTAGTGTTTAAACTTTTTTTTAACTCATTTTATACTTGAAATGGCACCTATTCATCAAGATTTTAAAAATAAATAGTCCAAAACTGATATACTAAGAAGTTACAATATTAAGTTGCAAACCAATAAAATCTTTAAAAAAATTAACAATTTACAAGGCTTCTAAATGTTTTAAAACCTAAAATAAAAATATTGTTCTTTGGGAAAAATTGCTTAATTTTCTATTAATTTGTGCCAATTTAAGTAAAGGACTAAACTAACTTATATTTTTTATTATAAAAATAGTGTCATATCTCTTCTTTTTCTTATGGTATACTGATGATGAGCTAATAAGCCTTCATTTCTTTTATTTGCGTGATTCTTGTTCTTATTTTACTCTGAGTTTTATTGTATAGAATAGATAGATGATGAAATACCAGAAAGATCTTTTCATGTGTAAGAATAACTGATTGTTGACATAATGATTATGCACTAGCTTGCCGTCTGAATATTGTGTAAATCGAAGTTGATTTTTTGTAGCCAAATCAGTTTACTCAAATATTTTAACAAAATTACTGATGATTTTATTAGTAAATACAATGTAAGCAAGTACACTATTATTTTTATGATATAGTTCTTCCGATTTACTGTAGACTTCATGTCATGATTTAGCAATAAATATTAAGTTTTCATGAATTGGTCAGTTTCTCGATTGATATGTTCATGATGTGCTCTTTATTTTATATCTTTCAGCTCATCTGCAGACATTAGAGAGTTTATTTTTAGTTGCCAGTTAATGCTTTCCTGCAGAGCAGCCTTCTTTTATGACTGGCGAGAGAATATTGAACCAAAGGATATGTTTGTCCAAATGTTGGAGAAATTTGCAAGGTTGTGTCAGTTAATAGCAGTGTAAGTAAAATTTATTTATACCTGTACATGTATGTGAAAGACAAACCAGAGATGATTTTATCACTTTTGTGCAAATTTCATGTTCCAAAATTAAAATGTGAGGAAATTTTGATAGAATGTTGAAATTATAGCTAATCAAAGTGTTGGACCTATATGTATGTTTTTGAATATTTCCTTTTCTGAGGTACCTGTATTTTGATGTCAAGTATTGCCAGCCAGGAGCAGGAGCGTCACATTGTTTTGTTGTCACATTCTTTTCACTACAATTATAAAAAAATTTTGATTTTGATTTTTGTAATTCCAAACCTAGGGGCTGCTGTGTTAACAACAAAATTGGTGTTTTCTTTACTGTTGATAGGAAACATTTACATTTTAAGTTTTTTTGTTGGGTTTTAATGTGGCTTTGCATTGTTGTTGTGGTTGTGTTTGATAAGAAAATCTTAAGCTGCAGTATGGTTACAAATTTGAGGTGGTGGTTAAGGTTTCTGTGTTGTAAAGGGCTAATTTTGAGTCACATCTAAAAAAAATCTATATTTATACCCCCGCTTTAAAAAAGTGGGGTATACTGTTTTACCTCTGTCTGTCCGTCTGTCCATCCGTCCCATGAATATTTTTCATCGCATCTTTCTCAGGAACTACATTACAAGGATTTCTGAAATTTGGTTTCAGGGTTTATATGAGTCAGCTATACTGTGTGATGTGTTTTCAGATTCATCACTCAACAACTTCCTGTTTACCTTATTCTTTTAAGCAGGGGTATCATTAGTGAGCAGTAACTCACAGATTCACTTGTTTTTGTCTCGCCTTGACGGAGTCAAAAAGCGAGACATAGGTATGCTGTTTCCAGCGTCGGCGTCGTCAACAATGTATTAGTTTGTGATTAGGTCTAGTTTATGGTGAACCACTAGTGGTAGGTCAATGATATTTGGTATGCAGTTGTATTAGCATTGGAACATCTCATTACCATGGAGATTATTTGGCCCCGCCCCCTCAGTCAAGGTCTATAGACTTTGAAACTTTTCATAGTTTACATGTATTAGTTTGTGATGAGGTCAATTTATGGGGAACCACTAGTGGTAGGTCAATGATATTTGGTATGCAGTTGTATAAGCATTGGCATATCTTATTACCATGGTGATTATTTGACCCTGCCCCCTCAGTCAAGGTCTATTGACTTTGAAACTTTTCATAGTTTACATGTATTAGTTTGTGATTAGGTCAATTTATGGGGAACCACTAGTGGTAGGTCTATGATATTTGGTATGCAATTGTATAAGCATTGGCATATCTCATTACCATGGAGATTATTTGGCCCCGCCCCCTCAGTCAAGGTCTATTGACTTTGATACTTTTCATAGTTTACATGTATTAGTTTGTGATTAGGTCAATTTATGGGGAACCATTAGTGGTAGGTCAATATTAATTGGTGTTCAGTTGTATAAACATTGGCATATCTCATTACCATGGAGATTATTTGGCCACCCCTGATCATGGTTCATTGACTTTGAAACTTTTACATAGTTTACAAGTTAATGTTTGTGTTTAGGTTTGTTTAAAGGGAACGACTTATAATAAGTCAATGGTATTTGGTATGCAGTTGTATTAGCATTGGCACATCTCATTCCATGGAGATTGTTTAGCCATGTACCTTCAGTCATGGTTCATCGACTTTGAATATTTACATAACTTACATGTTAAAGCGTTGCTATTTTATAATTTCAACATTTGCATTATCAAAATTACAAAAAGGCGAGACATATCTCTGTGATAACAGTTTATTCATATTTTGTCCATGGTATTGACATTGGAATGGATGAGATTTTAGTGGTGACATCCTAATTATCTACATGTATTTGTATTAAACTATATGGAATGATATTTCAGAAGATAAAAGACATTGATTTCTTTCCTTCTTCCTAAATGTCTTATGCTAAGAAGCTTCAGTTTGTCATATAATTTGATCTAAACCTCATTTTCAAAGTGACTTTATAAAGTTGTCCACTTTTCATGAGAAGGTAAATTTCTCAGAACAACAATGCAACTAGAGACTAAAAATATTTGGTTTATATGTCTTTTTAGGAGATGATGACTGTCTGGCATATATCACTTAACCTTGACCTAATTTTTATGATTGACTGGTTTTATGCATCCATGTGTTAAGATTTCCGTTCATTGGGACCTAGGCAGTAACTTGATGTGGTAGACAAACAAGATATGGTCTTTAAAATTTATGTAAGGTGTGCATGACCATTTGCTATGTGTCACCAGACTGTTACTGGCTTAATTCATTTTCTTGTTCCAGTCATTTTTTTTTATGATTACAGATTAGGTACGTTACTCAGTATATAGGCTATGTTTTATGTGTAAATTTGTTAAAGATTTAGTACATTTTTTATAGGTTCTTTTTAGTTTATGATAAGTTGTGCGGTTCAAATATGCACTGTATAAAAATAAGCAGATGGGGTATGATTGCCCATGAGAAAACTTTCCACCATGGTCTAAATGATGTAGAAGCTATAGATAACTATGCAGCCTTCAATAATAAGCAATACCCATACTTAATGCACTGTACAAAAATAACCAGATGGGGTATGATTGCCCATGAGAAAACTTTCCACCATGGTCTAAATCATGTAGAAGCTATAGATAACTATGCAGCCTTCAACAATAAGCAATACCCATACTTAATAGCAAGCTATTAAAAGCCCCGACTTGACAAATGTAAAACAATTCAAATTAGAAAACTAACTACCTGATTTATGTCAAAAACAATGAATGAAAAAAGTAATATGATGTACAGAAACTAAAAACAACATGGAGCCTATTTGAGCCTATATTTGTAGATGAAGTCAAACTTGCCCATATGTTCCCCTTGAACTAGCTGTCCAATCATTTATCCTGCCTAATCTCCCAATCTTTTTTATATGCAAATTTAACTCAAATAAGCAGCCACTTCCCTAAGCCTTAAAAGATTTAAATTTTCTAATCAATGATCCAAGTAATGTGCAGAATAATCAACAAGCACAACATGATATACAATTACCGACCCGTCATGGTTATAGTAAAAAATAGTTTTGATTTTGAAAACAAATTGTTTCAAATATGTATATATATATATGTTTAAACAAATGTATCATCCAGAAATGTATGGAAAGGGAGACAACTCCAATCTCTCTAATTTCATTCTGTCTAGGGTTTAGTATAGTTTATTGACTATATAGTTTGTTTTACTTTAAAAAAAAAAACTAATTTAATATTTTTGTCTTCAAAACTCGATCCTTATTCAAATGGACTGACTTCTTCATTATAAATATTTCTTCCGTGTGGAACTGTAATATTATTAAGGAAATTTTATTCAATGACAACTAATGAAAATTCTACTACTGATTTGACCATCTTGAAATTGAAGCACAGCATTCTCTTAGCAGTACACATTTTATCACCAAAGAAAAAATGGATTTTATTAGCTAGGTTTTGAGATACATGTAATTATGAAACGTAGGATTTTTTAAGTGTTTGTTGTTAGAGATTATGACGATGATGTTACAAGCTATAACTCTTTGGCACACCATTATCTCCCCTTTTTATACGACCGCAAAAAAATTTTTGTGGTCGTATATTGGTATGACGTTGGCGTCGTCGTCTGGCGTCATCCGGCGTCGTCCGAAGACACATTGGTTTTCTCACTCTAACTTTAGTTTAAGTGAATGGATCTCTATGAAATTTTACCACAAGGTTCAATACCACAAAAGAAAGGTTGGGATTGATTTTGGGGGTTATGGTACCAACAGTAAAGGAATTAGGGGCCAAAAAGGGGCCAAAAATAAGCATTTTTGTAACTTCCAGACATAACTTGTGTGTTAGTGTATGGATCTCTGTGACATTGTACCACAAGGTTCCATATCACAAAAGGAATGCTGGGATTGATTTTGGGGGTAATTGCCTCAAAATTTTAGGAATTAGGGGCCAAAAAAGGGGCAAAAAACAAGCATTTTTCTAGTTTCATGACAATAACTTGTGTGTAAGTGTATGGATCTTTCTGAAATTGTACTACAAGGTTCCATATCACAAAGGGAAAGCTGGAATTGAGTTTGGGGGTAATTGCCGAAACGTTTAGGAATTGGGGGCCAAAAAGGGGCCAAAAATAAGCATTTTTCTAGTTTCCAGACAATAACTTGTGTTCAAGTGTATGGATCTCTCTGAAATTGTACTGCAAGGTACCATACCACAAAGGGAAGGCTGGGATTGATGATGGGGGTAATTGCCTCAATATTTTAGGAATTAGGGGCCAGAAAGGGGCAAAAAACAAGCATTTTTCTAGTTTCAGGACAATGATTGTGTGTAAGTTTATGGATCTTTCTGAAATTGTACTACAAGGTTCCATATCACAAAGGGAAAGCTGGGTTTGAGTTTGGGGGTAATTGCCCTAAACGTTTAGGAATTTGGGGCCAAAAAGGGGCCAAAAAACACATTTTTCTAGTTTCCAGACAATAACTTGTGTTCAAGTTTATGGATCTCTCTGAAATTGTACTGCAAGGTACCATACCACAAAGGGAAGGCTGGGATTGAGTTTGGGAGTGATGAATCATAAGGGGGGTTCAAAAAATTTGGGGGGGGGATTTTTTTTTTTTCCTTTTTTTTTCTTTTTTTCCTTTTTTTTTTCTTTTAAAATTTTCCATTTTAAGTTGGTTATTTCTGATTTATATTTAAAAGCAAATAATAATGATATGGTAGGAGATACACACCAAACAGGATGTGTAAATTATTATATAATAAGTATTGTGCAATAGCAAGAAATTTTCAATTGCACAGTATTGCACAATAGCAAGAAATCTTCAATTGCACAGTATTGTGCAATAGCAAGAAATCTTCAATTGCACAGTATTGCGCAATAGCAAGAAATATCCAATAGCACAATATTGCGCAATAGCAAGAAATTTTCAAATGTACAGTATTGCGCAATAGCAAGAAATATTTAATTGCACAGTATTGTGCAAAAGAAGATACTTCCTATAAATTGCTTATTTCTTGACCAATTTCAATGGGGTTTTATTCTTGAATTCTTGGGGTTCTTTAATATGCTGAATCTAACCGTGTATTTAGTTTTTGGATTTTGGGCCCCGTTTTTAGATTGGTCCACATTGAGGTCAAAAGGGTCCAAAATTAAACTTTGTTTGATTTCATCAAAAATTGAATTATTGGGGTTCTTTGATATGCTGAATCTAACCGTGAATTTAGATTCTTAATTTTTGGTTCCGTTTTCAAATTGGTCTACATTAAGGTCCAAAGGGTCCAAAATTAAACTTAGTTTGATTTTAACAAAAATTGAATTCTTAGGGTTCTTTGATATGCTGAATCTAAACATGTATTTAGATTTTTGATTATGGGCCCAGTTTTCAAGTTGGTCCAAATCGGGGTCCAAAATTAAACTTTGTTTGATTTCAACAAAAATTGAATATATGGGGTTCTTTGATATGCTGAATCTAACCATGTACTTAGATTTTTGATTTTTGGGCCCCGTCATCAACTTTGTCCACATTGAGGTAAAAAGGGTCCAAAATTAAATTTTGTTTGATTTTATCAAAAATTGAATACTTGGGGTTCTTTGATATGCTGAATCTAACCATGTATTTAGATTTTGGATATTGGACCATAATAGGTGAATGTCCAATTTAAAATTTTTAAGTTCTTAGACCACATTCATTCTGTGTCAGAAACCTATGCTGTGTCAAATATTTAATCACAATCCAAATGCAAAGCTGTATCAAGCTTGAATGTTGTGTCCATACTTGCCCCAACTGTTCAGGGTTCGACCTCTGCGGTCGTATCAAGCTGCGCCCTGCGGAGCATTTTATTATACAGTAGTGTATGGTATTCCCATTTACATTTATGATTTTCTATTTTTAGGCCAGGTTCAGCATGTTCTGCAAAAAAAACCATCATGACATTGCAGAATGTTTCAGTTACATCACAGGCTGACCTTGTTATGATTCCAGAAAAATATCGTCGAGGTGCATTTTCAGCTTGTGTTAGTGCAACATGTGTTGTATCTGTAGTTGAGGTATGATTTCATTTATTTCAGCATTTAAAGTAATCAAAATTAATTCTTACATTCTCATACTAGTCTGTCTTCACATATATTAATCTACCATCACCAGAATATTTGTACAAAAGGGGTTTGTCATTACTTTGAGTTAATCTCACATTTTTTAATCACATTCACTAAAACCAAAGGATCAATTTGACATGTTTGAATCACATTTCCCCCAATATTATGTAATATAAGACCTGGACAAAATGTTTTTATTAGTCATTTGGACCTTTTGATGTTGAGTAGGACTTTCTATGATACCTAATAATATATGAAGCAAGAAGATGATAGAATATACATCAAATTTAATTTTTGTCTCACTTGCAATTAAATTTGCAAAGGTCATATCTCCTGGGCCAACCAACAAAGCCTTCAAGCCTATCTGTCAGTTTGGTTCATTTGACCATTCAAATTTAAATTCAAACTCAACTGACAAGGCGGATGAAAATAAAAAGAACTATGATTTCAACTTCAATAAATAATTGTAAAATTAGAAGTTGTTGATCCGTTGAGTTTCGCTTTGGTTGACCAACTTTTGAATTCAGTATGGCACCAGACAAAAATGTTAGGCTGTATATTTGTTATTTGGTAGGAATGATAGTATTTTGAGCTTAATACCCTCCTGAGACCAACTGTATCTAGCTTGCATTGGTATTGGGAAATCTCATAGATTTTGAATTGGGTTAAATCCTGTTAATCATGCAATATAATATTAAATTTATGTTACATTTATATTTATAATTTAGCAGTTTTATTTGACAAATAACATAGACCATTGCTTTATATAATAATGCTAACAATAATAAAAGTTTTTATCTTTGAAATATTAAAACTGATCAAACCAATCTTGTGGTGAATAATTCTGAGTTTATTTTTGATAGATATTTTAAAGAATGAGTTTGATAGTCTGTTATTTGAATCAGTATACAGGAGTCCTGTACTAAAGAAACTCTGAACTTTGAATTTTAAATCAATTTCATTTTTTTTGATACACCGTGGAAATCCCTTGTGTTGAGTCTCATTGAACAGATATTTCTTATGTTTCTTCACTATATCAGCTAAGTCTTAAAAATGTATGTTTTCGTCAATTTTTTAATTAAAATAAAGTATCCATTATTATGATTTTTGTCTTGCCTGCAACGAAAGCCTGGATGATGAGACATATTCTATGTAACTATTCCAGCAGCGGCAGCACAATATACATTGTATGTTGGCAGCTCCAACAATTGTTAAGTTTTCAGCTTAAGTTAGTTTGATGAGAACTACAAAATGTACTTGTGATAGATCAATGATATTTTGTATGAAGTTACAATACTATCATGATCAGTACATTTCAGTTTGACGACTATTTCGAGGCCCTGTCCCCTAGGTCATTGTCCAGTGACTTTCAATAAATTAACAATTTTCAATGTTAAGTTTTCTGCTTAAGTTAGTTTGATTGGAACTACTTACGATAGACAATGATATTTTCAATTTTAAAGGTCTCTTATATTATTCCATAATATAATACGGCTGGATTGACAACAACACTTTAGTGTTGTCAATCCAGCGATATTTTATTTATTTATTTTTATTGACAACCATGCATACCATCAGGTATCCTCTTTAGTGACTCTACCTTCACTTCACCACAAAGGCGTTGGTTCAGCAGCTTCTTATTTTTATTCCATAATATGTTCGTAAATACTAAGTAGTTCAAATAACATCTTTGTTACATCTCAGTTTGACGATCATTTTGACGCACTGCCCTCTATGTCATGGTCCAGCAACTTTGAATTAATAAGAAATATTGCTGTCCATCAGATTGTCTTTTTCTGAATTTTCTGGCAACAGGTGAAACATATCTATCTCTGTGTTAACAGTTTTTTATTCTAAAAAATAGTCAATATCTAAACTGATCCATATTAATGAGGGTCATATAGTTCTTTATTGCCCCCCACGCAACGCGTTGTGGGGGACATAGAAATACTGGGTGTCCGGCTGTCTGTCTGTCCGTGCCTCGGTCTGTCCTGTCTTGATAGAGCTCTCACGTGTACAATTCTTGCAAGATTTTAATATAACTTGTATCATAGATGTAAATCGGCATTGTCTCCAACAAGTTTGAAAATCAGTGCCGATCAACAATTTTTAAAAGAGTTATGCCCTTGGAAACATCAATTATATGGAAAATTGCATTGTTTGCGCTCTCAAATGTACAATTCTTGCCAGATTTTTATAAAAATTATATCATAGGTTTATATCAGCAATGTCTTGGACAAGTTCAAAAATCAGTGCTTATCAATAATTTGTAAAAGAGTTATGCCCCTTGGAAATATAGATTATATATAAAATTGCATTATAAGTGCTCTCATGTGTACAATACTTGCCAGATTTTAATAAAAACTTATATCATAGCTTTATATCAGCAATGTCTTGGACAAGTTTGAAAATCGGTGCCGATCAATAATTTTCAAAAAGAGTTATGCCCCTTGGAAATATTAATTATATTGAAAATTGCATTGTTAGTGCTCTCACATGTACAATTCTTGCCAGATTTTTATAAAACTTATATCATAGGTTTATATCAGCTATGTCTCGGACAAGTTAAAAAATCAGTGTCGATCAACCATTCATAAAAGAGTTATGCCCCTTAGAAATATGAATTATATGGAAAATTACATTGTAACTGCTCTCACATGTACAATTTTTGCCAGATTTTTATCAAATTTATATCAAAGGTTTATATCAGCAATGTTTTGGACAGTTTCAAAAATCAATGCCGATGAAATATTTTTAAAAGAGTTAAGCCCTTTTGAAATATTAATTATGTCTGAATTTGCATTGCATTTGCTCTCAAGCCTTCATTTCTCTAAAGATATTTATAAAAATTTAAAGAAATTTTAGTTTTTGCCAATGGACAGATAATATATGTGCAATGTGGGGACATTAGAACTCTGTTCTTTTATTCATTCTTGTTCCACTGTTTAGGTCAATAACTTAAATCATAAAAAGTCAGAGGTGGAAATGAAAAAGGCTGCACAGCATGGGAGGTCATCAACTGAAGCTGGTGAAATGGAAGGCTCTGAAAAACCACAGATTTACACAAAAGTTCATGCAGACATTCTTGCTCAACATGGTGGTGATCTTTTAATTCACAGACAACTTTATTGTAGTACTCTATCCAGTAGCACAACCACTTTATATCTTCCAGGGATGGTTGTTGTTGGATCTGAGGTAAATTGCTATGTTAATTAATTGGTTATTATCGGCAATCTGTTGATATCATTACTAGCATTTCAAATCATTTGGATATTTTAAGCTTCACTATGCACAAGATGTGCTGCATACTGTAAAACTTAAATGGATAATAAAAAGATTTGATCAAAGGCCATCCTTATAAAAAATTATTCTCTGTTTGTTTTCTACCAAAAGAATCACATATTTCAGAGACTTAAATTTTTGACAGGCAATTTTTGATCCTTATGATTATTTGGTCATTGGTGCAAATTTAGGCATCTGTGGATTTTGAAACCTAATTGTATTACAGGAAGTAAACAAGAATGTGTCCATAGTACACAGATGCCCCACTCGCACTATCATTTTCTATGTTCAGTGGACCATGAAAATGGGGCCAAAACTCTTATTTGGCAATAAAATTAAAAAGATCATATCATAGGGAACATGTGTACTAAGTTTCAAGTTGATTGGACTTCAACTTCATCAAAAACTACCTTGACCAAAAAGTTTAACCTGACAGACGGACGGACGAAGAGACGCACAGACCGAAAAACATTATGCCCCTAGGTGGGGCATAGAAAAGAACTGAATGATCAGTGACAAGTTTCTTTTTGTTATATTCAGCATTCTGATTTTTAAAATATCTCTTATAAGAGAATTAATATGTAGAAAGTACTTGGTGAAACAGTTTACAAATAAATTACATGAAATCAAACTAGAAATTGGTAAAAAAACGATTATTCAAAAATTAGAAAAGATCAGTGTTATTTATATAGATTTCATCTCAACATACTGGAATAAAACTAAAAAATATACCTCAACAAAAATTTAAGCCTTGTTAACATAATATAAACCATGTATTCATGTCAGAAAGAAATAATTTAAGGTAAACATTATATTTGATCTGTAAGTTAAAATAACACATTATTTTGTTAAGGTTCGTTGGACTCTATTTTGAAATTTAAATAAATATTGTACTATTGTTTTTATTGAAAGAGACAATTTATATTTGCAGGTAATTTTTACTCTCCTGAAAATACTTAGAAAACATGTAATGCAGCTAAAAGAACAAAGAGACACAACTTTAAGAGCAACTATTTATTACTCAAAGCCTAAAGATATGCTAAAAAAGGAAGATAGAGATGAACTAATAGAAGCCTTAACACGGATAAGCAATGTTTAATTTCAAACACAGGAATTAAAGTATTTTTTGGAGTAATGAAAAGTTGCTATTCAGACTATAAACAGCTATTGTACATTGTTGCTAGGTTTTAGGCTGGGATTTTACAGCCTTATGTTACTGCTGCAAGAGATAAAGGCTTTAAGGTTGCAAAGGATATATTGTTAATAATATTCAAGTAAAAATGAATTCTAATTTGCAAGAAAACCAAAATTATGAAAAAAAAGAATGACAAATGCTTATTCAAAGGACAATTTCGGCCAGATCAAATAAGCAGTTCAGTGGTGCATATACAGGAATCATAAATGTTATGGAAGCATAGACTAATTTGATAAGCAGGTTGATGTCATCCAATTTGTTTTTATCAATATTGTCATTAGGTTGTTATATAATCTAAACAAGCATACCTCAACTATGTCAGATTTTTTTTCTTGGAAAAATACGGTAATTGAAGTTTTATTACAATAAATAATTTGAGAATTAAAAATAAATTGAATTGAAGCATGTCTGTTTTGTCAGAGTTTATTTGTCTGAGGACCTAAATGTTTATTTAAAAATTGCACTACCGTTGCCTCCTTTTAAAAAAAAAAATTACTGTACAAAAATGGTATATAAACAGTATTTTAGTATAATCTAAATTTCTTTTGGCTATTGGAATTTAGGAAAAAACGTTTTTGTCACTTGATGAAACTCTGTCAAGTTTTAAGTGGTATATGGTCGGTTGCCATATTTCTTGGTTATGCATTCCTTTATTATTATAAAATAAGTCAAAAATGTCATATAATGATTTTCTTAATATTAAAAATTCACAAGTGATAAAATAAGTCAAAATTGTAACAACAAACAAAAAAAAAAACAAATGCAAAACTTGTTGTTCAGTCTTTAGTTTTCTATGTTGTGTTTTGTGTACTGTTGATTGTCTGTTTGTCTTTTTGTTTTTGAGCTGCTAGTTTATTTTCGACTTATGAGTTTGAATGTCCCTTTGGTATCTTTCCACTCTCTTTTTCTGTTTGTCATTAACCAGAAATTGAAAAACTGTAATAACCAAACAAGTTCAGTGTAAGTGTGCCCAAATCTTTTGTCATCTAGAGTTACATTGTTGTAGTAGAAATAAAATTTTATCATTAGTGTGAATGGAAAATGTTTAAATGGATACCTTTGATTTCTCTAATAATATTGAAAATTTTGGTCAAATATCAATGTCTAAGTCTTTCAGTAGCTTCCATTTTAGAAATTTATTTAGTGGCTGTTGCAATATTTTATTGATTGATTAATGATATTTAATGCAACTTTCAGCACCTTATCTGTTGAAATGTAAAGAAGTTCTTGTCCATACAGAGTGTATATTAATCTGACACTGGCAAAATATTTAAGATATCTAGAGTTAGAATATCTTTGGTACGTGTCTTAATACTTTGTTTTATGGTAGATGAACAAATTAAATTTCTTCCAAAAATTTCCTTATCAAAATGAAATTTCGTGCAGTTTTCTTTTTTGTAAAGAGAAGACTGTCACCATCTAATTTGGTTAACTTGACAGTAAAAATACCTGCTATGGATGATCTTACTCCAATATAAATCTTATCTCCACAACTTACTTTGGGTATGTATTAAAAGAAGGCAATTAAATGTACCATTTTAATATAAACCCTCTTTTTGTAAAATGTCGAAACAGTGTATTGTGTAATATACCTCTAATTTCCCATTCCAAGTTGAGATATATAAAGTGTACAGTAACTTTAGTACATGATAGATTTGGTAAAGCTGTTAGCAAATGAACTATATTAAGGGAAACTGCCAGTATCTAATACTGTAATACCAAGGAACGAGTATTTTTGCATGTTCACAAGACTCAAGTAGTTTTAGTACTGATGAGGTTTCCTTGATTTTTCAATTTCAGCTTGTGCCAAGTAAGCTTTTCTTGTCGCTTTGTGTCCTTCATCGTCTGTTAAATTTTACAAAAATCTTCTCCGAAACTACTAGGTCAAATTAAGCCAAAATTGGCCAAACTCATCATTGGGTATCTAGTCTAAAAATTGTGTCCAATGACCCAGCCTACCAACTAATATGGCTGACATGGCAAAAAATAGAACATAAAAATTTAATGCAAGTTTTGTCTATTATCTTGAAAACTGCTGTAGATAAAGAAAATCCGACCGAGGCAGAAATGTTTAGATCTACCTCCTATTCATGACTTATTATAGGAATTATTGCCATTAAATGACGAATTTTACCATTCTTTTTTCGATTTTGCTTATTATCTTGAAAATTATAATAGGTAGATAGAAACTGTGTACAGCAAAAATTATCAGCAAGATCAGCTCTACAAGTAAATTGACATGCCAAAATCTCTTGTCGACTTCTTATTGGAGTTATTGCTTTTTAATGAAGATTTTGCAATTTTAAGCTGACCTGGCCGAAAATCCAAGTGACCTTTTCTCATCACTTGTCGTCTGTCGTCCTTTGGCGTCTTTGTCCATTAACTTTTGCAAAAATCTTCTCTGCAGAGACAAATTTAACCAAACTTGGCCACAATCATCATTAGGATATCTAATTTAAAAATTGTTTCCGATGACCCTGCCTGCCAACCAAGACGGCCGACATGGCTAAAAATAGAACATAGGGTTAAAATGAAAGTTTTGCTTATTATTTTGAAAACCGCTATAAATAGAGAATATCTGAAAGGGGAATATATCTTTATTTATGTCAAAACTGTTAGACAACTTTTTATAGGAGTTGTTGCCCTTAAATGACAAATTTTACCATTTTTAAAAAAATTTGCCTTTTATCTCGAAAATTATAATAGGTAAGACAGAAACTTTAAAAGGTGTAATACCACCAAATCATAGTACATCACATCCGGTTGCATACGAAAAAGGGTCGAAAAAAAATATTTCCTTGAATTTGATAGTTGTAGGAAATTAATCCTACATTTCATTGCAGTAAAAAATTTCTGAGTCATCAACATATATCTTGGGTGTTTCAAAGCACCATTATTTTTTATTTAGTGTTTCTATAGAATATTTTGGAAACTTGAGGTTACATGGTTACTAAAGCTTGTACACAGAAAAAAGGGGTAAAAATTTGATCGGTTAACTTCCAGTGATGGTTATTTTCTTATTTGCAATGAAGTGTTATGTGAAAGGAGTAGGTCCGGTAAGGGCCGATTTTGGCCTCAAATTTCAAATACATCTGATGAAAGATTTTGGACACTTTTTAAACACTTAAGTGTCTACTTCAGTCGATTCAATTAGTTTATGTGAAAGATTTTAACTGATTTTAGTCAATAAATACGCTCAAATTCAAGCTTAAATATGAAAAATCTATCAAATATGCCATAATATGTCACTTTTTAGATGGTTTTTGTCAAAAATGGAAGTGGCCGCATCCGTGTTCACTCTCACCCTTTATATATGTTTTGTATTATCATCAAATACTGGACCTACTCCTTTTGTCTATAGTCCTGGACAGGATAAAACTTTACTCATGCCAAGGGTATCAGGTCGTTCTGGCCCCAAACCGAATAAAGCATGCCAAGTATTTCTTTATTTGAAACAATTTTACGGAATAAAGCTATTTTTATTAATTATGTATCAGAAAGATATTACATGGGATAGAATAAAGACTATATAATATAACACTTTTAAATCCTGTTTGATTTTTCATTTTGAAATCTTTCCTTTATTCGTTTTTATTTTTCAATCAATCAGAAGTGATGCTATATCAATGACAAATTTCTTCAATCCCGTAAGGGACAGAATCAAGATATAGCCCCGTCTTGACCTTGTTGTAGGGTATGAATGATTCGTTCATTGTTGAAGACCCTACATCAACTGTCAAGAAGAAGAACAGGAATAAAAGCCCTGTTCGTTGATAATTTTCTATGTTTTCTATGTATTGTGTGCAATTTTGTCCCATGCACATTTACTCCATATCCTTTCATTTTCTATTCAATACATAAAAAAAGTGGCAAACATTGTCAGCATGATATGATCTACAAATAAGTCAGCAGAGTTGAAATCTTCAGTCGACTCCTTGTTAGAGTTACAATGTATTGCCCTTAAATGATGATTTTTACAAATTGTTTGTGTTTTGGCTAATATCTTAAACACTATAATATATCGGTAGAAACTTTAAAAAGCAAACAAGATCAGTAAGACAAGATCTACAAATAAGTCAGCATATAACCGAAATCGTTAGTCGACTCCTTACTGAAGTCTGTTTCCTCTTAATAAAGTTATTCCCCTTTAATGATGATTTTAGCTTAAAAGTAACCACTGTTGGATGCAGGTGAGAGACACAGGCTCTTTAGAGCATATAATTTTGCTTTTTGCCTAATATCTTGCAAGCTATAATTGATAAGCAAGACAAGATCTACAAATATGTCAACATGGCCGAATAGTCAGTCGACTCGTTATTGGAGTTATTGCTTTTAAATAACTTATTTTACGTTTTTTGTGTTGATTATCTTGTAAGCTTTAATATATAGATAGACCGTGACTTGAAGTAGCAAAATTAATCTTCAAGACAAGTTCTACAAATCAGTCAACATGGCCGAAATCGTCCGTCGACTCTGTTATGGAGTTATTGCCCATAAATGACAATTTTTATTAACTTCTTGTGTTATTGTCTATTATCTTGCAAGCTGTAATTGATAAGAAAGACAAGATCTACAAATATGTCAACATGGCTGAAATAGTCAGCCGACTCCTTATTAGAGTTATTGCCCTTTAATGACGATTTTTACAAATTGTTTGTGTTATTGGAGTTATTGCTTTTTAATGACATATTTTACCTTTTTTGCGTTGATCATCATGTAAGCTATAATAGATAGATAGAAACTTTAAAAAGCAAACATGATCAGTAAGATCTGCAAATATGTTAGTATAGATTAAATTGACCGTGAGTTGTCTTCTTCCAGGAGTTATTGCCTTGAAATGACGATTTTTTTTATATTTGGGCAAAAACTATAGATAGCTTGAAACTGTAGACAGAAAAAATGATCAGCAATACAATAGATTTAGTCATAAATTACTTTATAGTCCACAATGTTGCAGGGAGTCCATTCTTGAAAATGAATATAGACCTACGTGAGCGATACAGGCTTTTTAGGGCCTCTAGGTTCGTTTATTTTGGCAAACAAGCTATTCAATAGGCAAAATCTTATCGTTGTCATGTGCCATGATATATCAAACTCCTACTTCAGCAATTGCATTTGCTGTTTTGTAACATGGAAACAGAAACGATTGATAGGCTCTGTTTTGGGTTCGGAATTAAAACTTTGATTCATGTGGAAGTAATCGTTGTCGAATAAATTAAATAATGCGAATAAATAAATGTTATACATGACGCCGACGACCTTAGTAACGTCACCGTTGCCGCATATTATTTAAGAAATAATTCACGAAAGCCATAGATTTGTTGGAAATTTACACATGGCCTGGGCCGTGATATTCGAATTTTATCCTGAGCGTTAGCGAGGGATAAAATTAACGAATATCACGGCCCA